CCATGGGCTATTTAGTATTCTTCTGCAACATCACAACTCAAAGGCATTGATTGTTTTTCTGCCTCCTTATTCATTGCCCAACTTTCAGTTGCATTTGTTGTTGTTTGCTATTGAGTCAGAATTGACCCATAGCTGACCATCCAGCAAGTTTTCAGAGGCAGTAAGGATGATGAGAGAAGAGTACTGAACATACCATGAGCAACCAGGAGAACAAATAGGTCTGTCCTAGAAATTGTGAAACCAAGTTTCTCCTTGGAGGCAAAGATTCTGAAGCTCCATCTCACGTATTTTGGGCACAGGAGGGACCAATCCTTGGAGGAGGATATTATTCTTCAAAGGATGGAAGGACAGCACAGGAAAGGAAGATCCTAGATGAGATGGATTAACATGGTAACTGGGGCAATGGGGTTAGTTGTGTTGAAGTCCGTGAGACTGGCTCAGGAGGGTTCAGAGCTATGTACACATAGGGTCGCTAATTGCTGACAACTGGCACATAACAACAAAACAATAACAACAACAACAACAACAAATAATACAGGGGGAGATTGCTTGTCCTTCTCCCTCACAGCATCTGGTGGGTTAGAATTGCATGCCTTTGGGATTGCAGCACAGCTTCTTACCACTGAGCCACCAGAGCTCTTTCTCAAATATATAGCAAGCAATTTAACTCATGACTTCAATGAGGTACACTTTAGTCTATCCTTACTCCTTAGAACTTTGGCTTGACAGCAGATTTCCCCAATGTGACATGTCTATGAGGAGAAATGTGGCATCAGGATTGGAGGTACACTCATCAACAATCTGCATTATGCAGATGACACAATCCTGCTTGCTGAAACTGAGGAGGACTTGAAGCACTTGCTGCAGAAGGTCGACTGCAGCCTTCAATATGGATTGAAGCTCAATATCAGGAAAACGAAGATACCACAGGGCAGATTGGAAGCATCACAATAGATGATGAAGAGATTAAGATTGTTAACAGCGTCAGTTTGCTTCACTTTACAATCAACACTCTTGGTACCAGCAGCCAGGAAATTGTGACAAAATTGCATTGGGAAAGCCTGCTGTCAGAGACCTCTCAAAAGAACTGAAGAACGATGGTGTCAGTCTGGAGATTAAAGTGTGCTTGATACAGGCCATGGCCTTTACAATTACTTGCTATGCTTCAGAGTGCTGGAAAATGACTAGGATTATAGAAAGATAATTGATGCCTTTGAGCAGTGGTGCTGGAAAATATTGAATATACCATGGACCGCTAAGAGAATAAACAAGTTCGTCCTGGAGAGGGCGAGACCAGGCATCTCCTTTGAGGCAAGGATTCTGAAGCTATGTCTGAAATACTTTGGACATGTTGAAAGGTGGGATCAGTCCTTAGAGAGGGACGTCATGCTTGGGAGAGTGGAGGGACAGTGCAGGAGAGGAAGACACTCTATGAGATGGATTGATTCAGTGACTGGGGTAATCAGGATGGGTGTGTCAGAGGCAGTGAGATTGGCAGAGGATAGAGCAGGGTTTAGGGCTGTTGTACATAGGGTCGCTATGAGCTGCAGACAACTTGACGGCACATAACAACAACATCATGTCTTTTGATCTTGACAAGGTCAACATGTCTTGATTGCTGGTTCCAACAGTGTTGATTAAAGACACAAGCAAGATGAAATAATGGATAATTTCAACTTTTTCTCAACTATCATGATGTTGCCTATTATCCCATGGTGAGAAATTTTCTGTACTTGTCAACTTTTTAATTAATGATGTTTTGCTGTTTTTATTTTTCACCACGTGTTAGAAAAACAGCAAAATGTTCTTGTCTCTTAAGTTGTTGAGAACATTGAACCATATAATTGCTGGTATGGTAATTAAATCACAATTTTTATTACAAACACTGAAGAAGAAAAAGAAGAAACACTATGAGTAAAGTTAAGCAGAGAACAAAGCTGATAAACTTATTAACATTCTGTTATTATTTTAAAACTTACAACAAAGTTATAATAAGCAAGACTATATAGTACCATATGATATTGAGGTGGATTGATTCAGTGACTGGGGTAATCGGGATGGGTGTGTCAGAGACAATGTGATTGGCACAGGATAGAGCAGGGTTTAGGGCTGTTGTACATAGGGTCGCTATGAGTCGCAAGCGACTCTATGGCACATAACAACAACATAGAAAATAATGGGATTGAGATTCCAGAAATAGGCTTTTATATTAATTTTTATGGTCAATTGATTTTAAACAAGGTTTTAGAAATCATTCACTTCTAGAGTGTTAGTGAAATCTGGTCATGTAGTTCTGACATATAGATAGAGATAGAGAGAGATAGAGATAGAGATAAATAGAAGATAGAGATAGATATAGAGAGATACGGAGTTGTGCTGCTAATTCAAAGTTTGGTTACATTTGAATCCACCACTGGCTTAGTGGGAGAAAGTCCCCCAACTCCTTTGTGAGGCACAGCCTCAATAAACAGATGAACGGTTGCTTGGAGTAGGAACCTGGAGATGGACATTGCCACCTGGTGTAATACTTACCTCACAACATACATAGAAATTAACTCACAATGGATCTATGACCTAATTTTAAGAACTAAAACTTTGAAATGCTTAGAAGAAAAGAACAAACTGTCAAGCCAGGACTGACTTATAGCTGACCCTTCAGTGAGCTTTCAGAGGTTGTAAAATGCCTAAGAGTATTTGCCATATTTCTCCCCTTCAGCAGCTGTTAGATTCACACGGTCTTCCTGTAGTTTGGCAGTGGAAGTCCTACCAGAACTAATATAGGTGTGTTTATATGATCTTGAGTTAGATCATGTTTTTATCAAGATGTTGTGTTTTATGTTACTAAGTCAGAACCGATTTGTAGCTGACCCTCCAGTGAGTTGTCAGAGGCAGTAAATCACATAGGAGATTTCCCATCTTTCTGTAGGGCAGCTGGTGGATTCAAACTGTGTTCCTTTGGGGTTGCAACACAGCTTCTCACCTAGGGCACCAGAGCTCCCTGTTCATTTTAAGTATAAAATTAAAATGGAAGGAAAGTAAAAAACCCAACTTCATGGAATGTAATAATTTTATATTTCAAAGTACATTATCAAGAAAGTGGTAACTCACAAAATGATGGGAAATACTTTCAAATTGTGTTTATGTCATGAGTCATGCACCAAAACACATAAAAGACTCTTTACAACCCAATACTAAGATATAAGAAATACAATTTTTAAAATCAACAAAGAACTTGTACAGACATTTCCCCTAAGAAGAGACAGATGGACAATATGCATATGCAAATATACTCAATATAAGTATTTGTAGCATTATAATCAAAGCCACAGTAAGTTACCAATTCATACTCACTAGGATGTTACAATAAAAAAGACAGATAATAACAAAAATGTGGAGAAATGAAACTCTTTTTTGATTCCTTGTGGATGGTAAAGAGTTGCAGTCACTTTGGAAGACAGTCTGACAGTCTTAACAAAAAGTTAGAGAGTTGTCATACGACCCAGTTATTCCACTACTAGGTCCACCCAGGAGAATTAAAAATGTATGTCCACACAAAATGCTCATACAAAACTTGTAAGCAAATGTTCATAACAGTGCTATTTACAGTAATCAAAATTTAGAAAACCGTCAATTTCCATGAATTTAGGAATTCATTTCAGTTTGGTGTCTGTACAATAGAATATTATTCAGCCATAGAAAGGAATAAAATATTAAAATGCAGATTTGTGATACAATGTCAATGAATCTTGGAAACATTATTCTAAGTTAAAGGAATCAAATGTAAAAGCTATATATTGCATGTTTCCATTTACACGAAATGCTCAGAATGGGCAAATTCGTAGAGACAGAGAAGTAGATTAGTGGTTTCTAGGAACTGAAGTGTGGGGAGGATGGGGATCAATTGCGTATGAGAACGCTGCTACTGTTTTGGGGTGATGAAATTATTTGGAAATTAGATGATAAAGGTCATAGCACCTTTTAAACATACTAAGCCCACTGAAGGGATGAGTCTGGAATCTAACACAGAAAGCAGGAAAAGGATATAAAAGGAAATGGTTATAAGTGTAGAAAACTGTTAGTAAATGTATAATCTAGATAGTGAGTATGTGATTGTATGATTTCCAACTCTTTTTTACTGCTAGTAGAAGTATATACAACAAAATGAATACCAATTCTACAATGTCTTTCACATTCAATTCAATGATAATGATTGCATTCTTTCAAGTTTATAACTGTACACATCTTTCTTTTTGAATTTGTTCTTCCTGTACAATATCTGTATGAGGCTTTCCACTTCTCTTCATGTTTTAATATTCATTAAAACTTCAGGGAAGTAATTTCTCAGAAATAGTGAAAAGCAGGTAAAAAGAAAGGAAAATTTGAAACAGTCATTAATATTGATGCTGCAGAGAGAACAAATAAGTGAAAGCTGATCAGTGTTCACTGCATAATCAAGAATGTATCAGTGAGCTTATGCAATGTAAACTCAATGCACAGAATACATACAATACAGTGCACTGAGGACTAAACAGGAGAAACTAGAGACAGTGAATGTACAAAACCAGTGGACTCCACTTTGATTACATTCATTCATCTTCAAACTAGACCATCATAAAACCCAGCTGGTCTCTCAGTCTCCCCTCCTCCCACTCTGTCTCTATCCTCTCAAATCACTCATTTTCTATGTGCTGCATCTGTATCTATTTTATGATTATTAATATTACATATTTTACATGTTTATGTTTTTCATCCCTATCAGACTGTGGGAACTCTAAGGACTGGCTACACTTTATATTTATTTACAGATCCTTCCCTTGTCTAGTTTATGTCATTTTCTAAAAAAAAAAACCCCAGCATTTTCCCCTGTACCTACTTAAGAGAACCCATTCAAAATCTGTAATAGTAAAGGGTGAAAAATCAATTTAAAGTCTATAATGTGTGAAGTTATAAAATGTGTTCACAAAAATACACAATAAATAAAAAAGGGTAATAAAAGAGACATAATTTACTTAAAATAAAAATTGTCTAGAAGAAAGTGGAAAAAATAATTTATTGCAGATTCTTTTACACATTAACATGAAACACTTATACATATATGGATATGCTGATATGAAATATTAAATTTAAAGACAAATATTTTTACACAAAAGTAGCTGCACTATGGTTTATAAAGACAGATATTAATAAGTTATCAGAGACATTTAAGAAAAACAGGCCATTATTCCAATAGTGATTATTCCAGATTGAAATTAAACTAATTTTTCTTAACATGATGTCCTGGGTATAGTTACAATCTTTGAAATAAAGAGGAAAAAAAGCTCATTTCTGGGAAAAAATAGGCAGAAAAGGCTATTACAGGAATGTTCAGGATTGCTTTGTACAGCTTTATTTTCAGACTTAGCTAAAACTTCTTTTAGCCCAAGCCAATGAACTAGCTCAGTGTGATTCTGTGCAGCTTTCTATGACAGTTGCATGTGGCTACTGACATCAATAAGAGGGTTACAGTATCAATGGCAGTATTTTAGAGGAATCATAATAGCCACAAGATTTGTGTTAGCAACACAAATTTAATAATAGAAATATCTATTCCTTATTTTTGAAGGAAAATTAGCAAACTTCAAAATGATTACTGTTCTCTTAGCATGATATATTAATTCCTACTCTGGGAACATGAAAATAAATTGTATTTTCCCTAAAAGTTACAATTCACTCCTTTAGAAAATAATATATATAATGATATACACCAACACTATATAAACTTTATTACATATTATAGTCATTAAAATAGATATATACATATATATGGAGAACTAAACATATTTGGCAAACCATGCTAGGTATATACATGGTCAAATAATGCTCAGATTCATTTCATCAAATACTACAAAGATTGAGTGCCCACTCCCTGCAAGTCACCATGAGGTGTAAAGCTTGCAGTAAATTTTTAAGGTACATGAAGCTCACAACAGACACCTCTAAAGCCAGACTTTAAATATACCACAGAAATAAGCTAAAACTTGGAACATCATAACCAAAAGCTGAGTCAAAGCTGGATAGCAAGAAGTGAAAGATTTATCTAGGAGAAAGGCTAAGAGTAAATGAAAAGGACATTGCAAAGTAGGTATCTATAGCGAATAAATGCTACTGGGCTTGGCACAAGTTAGGAGACAACTGGAATTTCACCTGCAGTCCTCTTCATTCTGTAATCCAAAATTCAGTCCTCATCCTGTTTTGTTTCCTTAAAGGAATAAAAGAAATAGATTAATTTTCAGCAATTAATATATTTACAAAGACAGTCAAACCGAAACCACCAAGTCCATTGCCACTGAGATGATCCTGACTTAGAGTGACCCTGCACGTGAAGAAGGAGAACTAACTGCTCCATAGGCTTTCTTGGCTATCTTCATAACTGAATGTGATTACTAGGCTTTGCTTCTTTGGGCCCACTGAATGGTTTGAAACCTCTAAACTTCCGGTTAGTACTCAAATTGAAGCTGTTTTGGCCACCCAGATCACTTTCTTCTATTTACTCTTTATGACAGTAAGTCCTGGATTGACGTTAGCTATTTTTGTGAATCCTTTCCACATTAATTCTGAGTAAGACAACTGAGATGACTGACTTGGAAATTTTGATGTATCTGTCCGAAGCAGCATTAACAATCCCTAGGAAAATTATTTAAAATAAAAATGATGATATAAAGTAGAGATAAATACTAAAACTCTTAATCCATTTACTTAAACCAAAACCCACTCATCAAATCAGTTCTAATTCATGGTGACTTTCCATTGGGTTTCTGAGGCTCTAAATTGTTATGGAAGGAAACCTCCCATTTTCTCCCCAATAGCACTCATAATTTTTTTTAAATTGTAATTTGAGTGAACATTTACAAACCATGGTCTTGTAATCAATGAGTCAGGCATATTTTGTTCTACAATTGTAAGTACAATCTCCACAATGTACAAACACGCATCCAGTCATTCCACAGCATTTTTCTCTTTTATCTATCTTACTAAGTTACTATTATATACTGTTTTGTTGTTGTTATGTCAGGAATGACCCATAGTTCACCCTCAAAAAAGGTTTTCAGAGGCTGTGAACTAAACAGGAGAAAACTGCCTATCTTTCTCCTATGGACCAGCTGGTGGATTTGAACTGAATGCCTTTAATATGGCAGCAAAGCTCCTTACTTTAGGTCACCAGAGCTACACTTACTGAAAAACAAAAGAAGAATTGTGTTTCATTTGTAGTCTAAAAGTCAATTTCATGTTCTATCCTGAAATACAATGCTGTAAGTGATAAGTTATTAACTATATAGATACATAGAAGGGCCAGTTTGAAGGCTCATGTGTGAAGCAGCTGGATTCTGGATGGTGGGTTCTCTTGTTTTGGTTAAGGGTCAGGTGTGGACTGATAGGTTGTTTTTAATTTTGTTCACAATTGTATGCGAGCTGATTGGATTTGGTGGATTTAGCCAACAATGAGCTGTGGGCCAAAGCCTCTTGTTTAGAGTCAATCAGAACCTGGTAGGTGGGCATTTGTATTTAAAGTTGGTTGGGGCTGGCAGGCCCTCATGCCTCTTTTTAATTGTGCTTGGGACAACATTCTTCTAAGTGGTACTGTAATGGTTTGTCAATTTACTGTACTGAGATAACTTGGGGTTGCTGTGATGCTGAACACTGTGCCACCAGTGTGTCAAATGTCATAATGGTCACCAATATGTTTGATGGAGCTCCCAGATTAAGACAGGTTTGGTAGCAGGAGTGGTATCTACTTCCTAAACAACATACCTCTGGAAACTCTATGAACTTAGGGAAATGTTAATAGAGCAGGACTCAGGTCTTTTGTCACAGAGTCGCAATGAATTGTGCTCAACTCAATGGCACTTAGTAACAACACAACTACGTACAAAGAAGGGTCATTAATATGACTATTATTCAAATATACACTCCTACATCTAGAAATATTTTTGCCAAACTTGCAGTGCGAAATTGACCTAACATGCAATCAAGATATGCTAATGATAACTGTCAACTAGAATGCAAAGGTTAGAAACAGTGAAGAAGGAATAGTAGTTGGAAAATATGGGTTTGGTGATAGAAAGGAGCCTGGAAATAGAAGAGCTGAATTTTTTCTTTTAAGTGATTAATTCGGAAATGCCTTTTTAAAAAGATACAAATGATGGCTTTATACATGGACCACACCTGATGGGCTGCATAGGAATCACAGTGACTATCTCTGTGGAAGCAATCATTAGACAAGCTCTGTTATCATTATTGAAAACTAGGCCAGAGGTGGATTGTGGGTCAGACCATCAATTACTCATATGCAAGTTCAAATTGAGGCTGAAGAAAATGAAAATAAGTTCACAAGAATTAAGATATGATTGTACATCTATTCCATCTGAATTTCAAGATCATCATAGGAATAGGTTTGAAGCATTGAGCATCAATGATCGAAGACCAGATGAGTTGTGGGATATTATCAAGGATATCATCCATGAAGAAAGCAAAAGGTCATTACAAAAACAGAGGAGAAAGAAAAACTTGAAAAACATGTCTGAAGAGACTCTAAAAATTGCATTAAATCATCGAGAAGTCAAAACAAAAGGAAAACATACTGAAGTAAAAGAGCTGGAACATATTTCAAAGGGCAGCTCGAGAAGATAAAGCAAGGTATTATAACGGAATATGCAGGGAGCAAAAGTTGGAGAATAAAACGGGAACAACTCAGTCTGCATTTCTCAAGCTGAAAGAACTGAAAAACAAATTTAAGCCTCAAGTCCCAATATTGAAAGATGCTATGGACAATATATTGAATGATCCAGAAAGTATCAAAAGAAGATGCAGGGAATATACAGAATCACTGTACCAAAAATAATTGACTGACATAGAGAAAATTCAGGAAGTATTATATGAGCAAGGAGCCAATGGTAATAAAAGAGAATGTGGATGCTGCATTAAAGGCACTAGCAAAAAATAATGTTCCAGGAATCAATGGGATACCATCCAATTGATGTTTCAATTAACAGATGCATGGCTGGATGTGCTCACCAGTCTATGTCAGAAAATTTTGAGGACAGCTGTCTGGCTAACAAATTGGAAGAGATGCATATTTGTTCCCATTCCCAAGAAAAGTGATCCAACAGAATGTGGAAACTATCTAGTAATATCATTAATATCACATGTAAGCAAAATACTACTGAAGAACATTCAAAAATGGCTAGAACAATACATAGATAGGGAACAGCCAGAGGTACAAGCAGGATTTAGAGGAGGCTGTGGCACCAGAGATATCATTGCTGATGTCAGATGGATTCTGGCTGAAATGAAAGAAAACCAGAAGAATATTTATTTATGCTTTATTGACTATTCAAAGGCATTTGACTGTGTGAGTCATAACAAGTTATGGCTAACATCAAGAAGAATGGGAATTCCAGAGCACTTAATTGTGCTCATGCAAAACCTATACATTAACCAGGAGGCTGTTGCTGCCAACAGAGCAAGGGAACACTACACGTTTTAAAATTAAGAAGGGAGTGTAACAGAGCTTTATTCTCTCTCCATACCTGTTCAATCTGTATGTGGAACAAATTCTTTGACAAGCTACACTCTATGATGAGGAACATGGCATCAGGATTGGAGGGAGACTCATCAATAACCTGTGTTATACAGATAATATAACCTTGTTTGCTGAAAGTGAGAAGGACTTAAAGCACTTGATGCAGAGAATCAAAGAATACAGCCTTGAATATAGATTATATTTCAATGTCAAGGAGACAAATATTCTTTCCAATGGACCTATAGGCAACATCCTGATAGATGGAGAAAAGATTAAAACTGTCAACAACTTCATCTTACTTGACTAGATCCACAATTAAGACCTTTGGTACCAACAATCAGGAAATCAAGAGACGTATTGCACTAAGAAAGTCTTCAGTTAAGTACCTCTCCAAATTATTGAGAAGTAAACATTCTTCCAAATGGCATAGCACTGGTCTATCCAGTTGCTGTACAGAGGTAACTCATGGTTGCTGTGATGCTGAACACTGTGACACTGATGTGTCAAATGTGATAATGGCTACCCATGGTAGACAGTGTTAGGTAGAGCTCCCTGATCAAAACAAGCTTGAAAGCAGGAGTGGTATCCACATCCAAAATAGCTTGCCTCCAGAAACTCTATGAACTTGGAGAAACGATAAAAGTTTTACAAGTGTCCAGGTCTTTTATTCATAGGACCACTATGAGTTGTCTACAATTCGACGGCACTTAACAACACAACAACAATGATGACTGCTGAGGACTAAGGAGCAACTGAGTCTCATCTTGTTCTCTCTGATCACTTGCTATGCAACTGAGAGTGGACAACGAATAGGGATGAAAGAAGAATTGATGCCTTTAAGCTGTAGTTTTGGAAAAGAGCACTGAATATCCCTTGGACTGCCAAAAGAAAAACACATATGTCTCAGAAAGGGTGTAGCCAAAGTGCTCTTTGGAAGGAAAAAAGATGAGGCTTCACTTCACATAATTTGGGCATGTTGCTCGAAGGGGCTATTGCTTGGAGAGGGACATGATGCTTGGAAAGGTGGAGGGTCAGTAAAGGGAAGACAGACCTCCGACCAGGTGGATTGATAGGGTGACTGCTGCAATAGGCTCTACTGTGTGAAGATGGCACAGGGCAAGTAGGACAGGGTTCAGATCCATTGTTCATGCGGTTGCTATGGGTCATACTCAACTCTACAGCACCAAACAACAACTTTTTGTTGTTGTTAGGTGCCATCAAGTTGTAGACAACTCATAGCGACCCTATGAATGAAAGGCTTGAGCAGTGTCCGCACATAGAGTTTCTGGAGGCAAGCCATTTCAGAAGTGGATGCTGCTCCTGCTTCCAGGCTTGTTTTAGTCGGGAAGCTCCACCAAACACTGTCCACCATGGGTAACCGTTACCACATTTGGCACATCAGTGTCCCAGTGTTCAACGTCACAGCAACCATGAGTTACCTCTGTACAGCAATGCACAGACCAGTGCTATACCACCTAGAAGAATGTTTGACAGGAAAACAATTTGAACCCAGCCTGAGGGCCGCAGGCCCGAGAGCCCTTTTGGGCTTAATGCCCCCTCCTGCCTTAAACCCTAGGCCAAGCCTGGCTGCCTGGCCCTTGGAGGCAGAGTAGTCCTTCTCCTCACAAACTTGAAAACTTGAAAAAGCACTCCACTCCAAAAGCTGCCACAACACCTGTGCACTCAGCACCATGCTCTCTCTGGCAACCAGGTCACAGCAACTCTGGGCAGAGCAAACCAGGGAGAAAACATTACTGCCTTCTCTCCCCACTCCCCTTTTGGGCTTAATTAATTAATTTTCTACTCCCCCTTCTTTAACTTCCCTAGTAACCATACTATAATGATTCTATCATTCCAATGTATAAATCTTATTTTAGCTTTTTTAATACTAGTCTTACAGGGTATTTATCCTTTTGTGATTGACATCTTTCACTCAGCAAAACATTCTACATTCATTCATGCTACACAGTCATCCAGAAATTAAACCACCAATATTTCAGTTAGTAGTACAGCATATAAAATAGTATGCCACCAAGGTTCCTTTTGTCACCAGGATGCTACATTAAAAAAAAGTTTAGTAATGAGGCAAAAGCATTAGAATGAAATTTGCAAGAAGCTGGAGTTGGAAAATCAAAAGGTCCAAACTCGCTCAGCATTTCTTAAGATGAAGGAACAAATTCAAGCTGTGAGTTGCAATGCTTAAGGATGCTATTGGAGGAATAGTGAATGATTCAGGTAAGCATTAAAAAGTGATGGAAAAAGTATACAGAGTCACAGTACCAAAAAGAAGTAGCTGACACAGAAGAATTTCAAGAAATAGCAAATAATCAAGAGGCAATGGTGAAGAAGGAAATTCCAGCTGTTCTGAAGGACTTGAGAAAAAAATAAAGCCCCAGGAATTGATGGAATACTAAGTGTTTTCTTTCATCACACAGATGCTGCCCTGGAGGTGCTCCTCAAGTTTTGCCAAGAAATCTGGAGGACAAATATGTGGCCAACTAACTGGAAGAGATCTATATTTATTCCCTTTCCAAAAAAAAAGTGACCTATCAGAGTATGGAAATTATTGAACAATATCACTAATATCACACACTACTAAAATGCCGCTGAAGATTTTCCAGAAATGACTGGAACAGTATACTGACTGACAGACAACTTCCAGAAATACAAGCTGGGTTTAGAAGAGGTTGTGGCACTAGAGACATTATTGTCAATGTGAGATGGATCTAGGCAGAAAGCAAAGAGTACCAGAGAAATGTCTATCCGTGTTTCCTTGACTAATGAAAATGGGAACACCAGATTGTGCTTATGTGAAATCTATACTTGGACCAAAAAGCAATCTTCAGAACAAAGTAGGGAAATACTGCATGGTTCAAAATCAGGAAAGGAGTTTGTCAGGGATGCATCCTGTCTCCATATCTTTTCAATCTGTATGCAGAACAGATTATTTGGGAAGCAGGATTTTATGAGGACGAGTGTGGCATCAGGATTGGAGGTAAACTCATCAACAACCTATGTTTATGCAAATGACAATCTTGCCTGCTGAAATTGAAAAAGACCTGAAGGGCTTGCAGTAGAAAGTCAAGGACTATAGTCATCAGTGTGGCTCAGTATCAAGAAGACAAAGATTCTCACCACTGGACCACTTGGCAGCACCATGATAGATGGAAAAAAGAGATTGAGGTTAACAATTACAGCTTGCTCGACTCCACAGTCAACACTCTTGGCACCAGCAGTCAGGAAATCAAAAGACAAATTACATTGGGAAAATCCGCTATCAGGGACCTCTCCAAAGAGCTGAAAAGCAACAATGTCAATCTAGAGACTAAGGTGTGCCTAATCCTGGCCATATCTTTGCAATTACTTGTTATGCTTCTGAGAGTTGGACAATGACGAAGGATGACAGAAGAATTGGTGCCTTCAAATCGTGCTGCTAGAGAAGAGTTTTGAATATACCATGGACTGCCAAGGGGGGAAAAAATAGGTCTATCTTGGAGAGGGTGAAACCAAGTTTCTCCTTGGAGGCTAGGGTTTTGAAGCTCCATCTCACATATTTTGGGCACGTGGCCAGGAAAGGCCATTCCCTGGAGGAGGACACCATGCTCGGAAGGGTGGAGGGATAGTGCAGGAGAGGAAGACCCTGGATGAGATGGATTGATACAACGACTGGGGCAGTGGGAGCTGGTGTGGCAGAATTAGTGAAACTGGCTCAGAATAGGGCAGGGTTCAGAGCTGCTGTACATAGGGTTGCTATGGGTCACAAATGACCTGATGGCACATAATAACAATAACGTATGCATTCAAAATTGTAATTGAGTAGGCTCATCACCTCTGATAAATATATATACCAACTGGGCATAGAATATCAAATTTGCATCTAATGTAACATATCCTAAGGGGAAGGAAGCTGGGCACAATCTTAATATGTAGATCACAAGTGTGCAGTTTGGATGTGCCATCAATGCGGTCTGTCCAGAGTATAGCCAGAGAACTAACAAGATCCTAGTGCATCACCATGGGATTACTTAGATTCCTGCCAACTATTTATCAGTTTTCTCTCTAGATGAAGCACACAAGCAACTAGGATTTTCTCAATATCCTCAAACATTTCCCAAGAGAAACACTGGCCCTTAGAAGGATGTTAAGCTTCCGGTATGAATTGCAGCCTGGACTTGGCCCTCATAGAGAACTCAGAATTAAATAGAAAACTCAGGGGAAAGGCTGGGTTATTCCCCTCAGAGCCCACTTACCTTAGTCATATTTGAGCCAAATTATTAACGACAACATAAAATGAGTTTCTAAATACAGTATTTTTGTTTCAATTTTAATAGAGGACAGAAGTTGACAACTACAAAACATCCCAAGGAGAGTATTTCTTGTTTTCATTGCTCAGTGTTTCAGTATTTCCACTGTGCTAATTTAAGAGTTAATGCCTGGAAGAGAGAATTCTTTTCAAATGAAACATATTTTTGATGATTCTAATTTAACTGCCATATTTACATTGTCTTTAAAACATGACTCTTTGATTAGTCATACCTCTGTTCCTGCATTTTTTCTGGAGAGAAACCAAACTTGCATTGGCTCTTTTTTGCCCTTCATAGAGACTGGCCCTCTGTGCTCCAAATGGAACTGTGGATCTGAATTCTCTGGTGACATAAGACATCTAAAAGACCGACAGGATGGAGAGTAAGGAGAGAATTATACAAAGATTGCAGGGAGAATGGGCCCTGTGCCAAAGTTACCAACTGGGGCAAGAAGGTCACATACCAATGTTGTGTTTAAAGGAAACTGAAGGTGGTAGTAACAATGACCTTAATAAACAGTTTCTATGGTGGTGCCTGGGAACCATTAAAAATGAAAACAATGGCCTAGCCTTCTTAAACAAACCTGCATAAACAATTATAAGAGAGGAGGTAATAACTGTTTTAAGGGAACACCACCACTCAGATTTTAAATCTCTGGAAAGATACATTTCCCTCAAAAAACAATAAATGATAAGACATTTTATTTTACCTGTATGTATATTCAGACACATTTATTTTCCCCTTTTCTCCAGTGGTTTCTGTTCTGCTTGTGAGGTTAACAGTGTTCCCAAAAAGACAGTACCGAGGCATCCTCTGCCCTATGACACCGGTCACTACCTCTCCAGTGTGGATTCCTATTGTTATCTGCAGAGGAAAAGGTTTTGTTTCAGTCTCTTCCAGTGGTCACACAATACTTTCTGTTAACTCTTTAGTACAGAATAGTGCAATTCATCATTTAAAATGAGAATAAGAATTCCTCAGAACAGTTCCGAGTGTACTCCAGACAATAAAATACCCCTCAAAATTCTTTCTTATGTCTGAAGACTTTAACTATGTGACTCTGGCATCAGACACAGAAAGAGTTTTGAAAAATTAACCAGAAAAAACCCCCAGTAAGTGCTACTGTCTCATTCTCATGACTTCTGCCATAAGGGTGGTTGTTGTTGTTGTTGTTGTTGTTATGTGCCGTCGAGTCGTTTCCGACTCATAGCGACCCTATGCACAACAGCCCTAAACCCTGCTCTATCCTGCCCCAACCGCACCGCCTCTGACACACCCATCCCGATTACCCCAGTCACCGAATCAATCCATCTCATAGAGGGTCTTCCCCTCCTGCGTTGTCCCTCAACCCTCCCAAGCATGATGTCCCTCTCCAAGGACCCGTCCCTCTGGACATAAGGGTGGTACACAAGATAATTTCAAACAAGTAGAGAGATTGTCAAGCTCTATGAAACTATAAAATTGAGTGAGTTTAATAAAATGTGAGCGTCTCTATGACTGAAACATCCTTCCTTGTATGACTTAAATGACTACATGATCAAGAAATTGAATTAGCTGCTTACAAAGATCAACTGCCATTATAAGAATAATTTTTATTTACCAACCTGAACAGATTCACCATCTACTTGAACCTGGCCAGCAATTTCCATCATGTCCAAGGCCAAGTGGCAAATGGATCGTGCATGGTGGATACAAGGCTCTGGTAAACCACTCACTGTCATGTACTTATCACCAACTGTTTCCACCTAACAGAACATATATAGAGATGGGCACCGATTAGCATAAAAATGACTCCTTCATTTTAATCAAACTCTATCAACCCATTGGCATAAAGTCAGAATAACTCAAAATGACACTCCAGGGGATTTTTAGATATTGTAAGTTACAGGGGAAGAGACTGCCCTTCTTTTTCTCCCAAAGCCACTGGGGGATTCACACGGCTAGAGAAGTACCAGCTTTGGGTTAGCAGTGCAATTCCCTACCGATTACTAATCTAAAATATTTTTTTCAAAGCTATTAACAAATTTAAACTTCCTTCTATCTGAATCATCTTAAAATCAGAATGTATTTCATTCCAACATGACAAACCATGTAATAAATATTTGAAATGTATACACAAGCTGGGGTCTTTGAATATGGGCAAGTAAACATGAAGCATTGCTTTTCTTCTGTAGGGATGTAACGGGTTATCTATGCAACTATTAGTGGTAGTTGGGCTGATGCCCAAAAGGCCAGTGCTTCAAATTCACCAGCTAGTCTCCAGGTGAAAGAGCAGGGGTCTGCTTTTAGTAAGATTTAAAGCATTGGAAACTTGATGAAGCATTGCCCTTAGTCAGAATGGACTCACTAGCATGAGGGTGATTTTTTTTTTTTGGTTAATTTTCCAAAATAGATCTTATAATCCAGTGTTATGCCATTAAGTAGGTTCAACTCACAGCAACCATATATTACAGAATACCTCCCAGGGAACTCTCCACTGGCACAGACAGGCAGGTTTTTCTCCTGCAGAGCAACTCTGGTTTTGAACTGCCAATGTTTCAGTTGGCAGCCAAGCACATTAACCACTGTACCATTAACACTCCTTTTACTATCCAGTAGAACATTTTATTACCTTTCCTCCTTTAAAAAATATTAATAGTTTAATGACACAAGAGCCACTGTATGAAGTTCAGAGATTTATAACAGTCACTAATCATTTATTTTTACGATAGGTTCACCAAGTGCTGCACTGTATCTCAGAATACGACGATAAAATAAATAGTCCCTCTAGAGCTTATATTATCCCAGATGTCTAGGGATGGTTTAGTTGACATTCTTGACTTTAAGAAACAGTATTCCACTGACTTCATTTTTCCAATAACATATTCATTTTTTAATGAAACAAAGGACAGAAACTGCTTATAAATATTTATCTTCAGGATGATGCTATCTGAGTCCCTAGGGCCCTTCTTGCGCCCCATCACTTTTTAATTTGCATTTATGTACGTGAGTAAAAAGGCCTCTTGCACAGAACTAAACAGAATGGTGTGTTTATACTAAATATGATAAACCGCTCACACAGAGTTGTTATCTTAAGAGCAAATAAGATGCTGAACATTTCATTTTTTACCAAGAATCATCTGCTCCTTGAACCATTCATTTTAGTTACAAGGAAGAGAAAGTTTTATTACAAGATGAAATTATTTAAGGAAATAGTAAATACTGAACAAATGGAGGCTTTCTCTAAGGTTGCAAATGCAACAGCTAAAAGAACCAAGAGCAGGGGCTCTGGAGAAGGGTCTGAACATCCCAACTCTGAACAGTAGGAGGAAGCAGTGCTGGTTTGCTGGCAGGATTTTCACCTGCCAGGTGGGAGATTGGGTTTGGATTTCTGGCTGACGTTCCTCATGCTCAGCCATCACTTGTTAGGGGAAGCTTACATACTGCTCTGTTGCCAAACAGATTTCAGCAGAATTTTCAAGTTAAGAGAGACAAGAAAGGAAAGCATGGTGAGATGTCCTACTTCCAAAAAGGAATGAAAACCCTTTGGATCACAATGGTCCAATCGAGAACTATGTAATGTTTCCTTTCATTATGCATGGATTCATCAAAAGCCTAGGGTTTATGAAATAGCAGCTAACAGAAACCTCAACCACAAAAAAGATGAAGACGTGCCTTATACACAAATGGATTTTTCCGTGAATCAGTGAGGGTGTCAAATCTGGTGTAGAGGTCATTGAGGAGGTTAACAATCTTCATGGCCCCTTCTCCAGAAGCGTGCTTGCTGCAGAATGTGTTGAAGCCCACGATGCCACTGAAGAGGATGGTCACATTGTCATATCTTTTGGCAGGCACTGGGCGCTTATGTCGCAGCTCATTGGCAACGGATGGAGGAAGGACAGAATATAGTAACCTGTTTAGAGAAATTAGAATAAAGTCTGTTAAGGAAAGTAGGAATATTTTTGGTGTTTCCACCATTTTTTTCAAAGACTTAAGTGTTAGCTATACTGTAAACACTTGCAGTCTGATAAACTAGCCTTTAAAAATATGATAAATTTTAACTTTTATTCAAAGATAAAGAAACAGAAATATAGAAAACATGAATCATTTGTTCATTTTAAACATGTAAAAAGTCTCTAAGCCCAAACCAAATCAAAATAAGTAAAAAATAAACAAAACAAAGGGTTGGCAAAAGAAAAGAAAGAATTTTCACTGGTACTCTGGAATTCTATAGCTGCTGCTCTGTTTACCATATTTTTATTCCCATATGTCTGCAAGCAGGA